GCCTTGGCCCGGTTGGGTTTTAGCTCGTTTTTTCCCTTCATTCCGATGGTTGTTGACTTGTTTAACGCAAATTTTATATTCCCTTCAATTTGAGAATTATGCAAAAACTTACATAATTACTTATGGAATCCCACTATGCTCTCCGAAAAGAAAAGGAGGTTCGAAAAATAGTTAAATTCCGGAATAGCCCTCAATGCGCGTAGCAATTCACGTTTAATGTCTTTAATTGACTTAAAATATAAATCCATTGAATTTGCTCCTTCTTGCCAAGGAGAATGTCAATAACATTTCCCACCACAAATCAATTATTCCGCTTTAGTGATTTTCGAAATGAAGTGCCTAAAATAGAATTGATTTTTCCTCATATATCCTTCATTTTACTAAGAACTTGAACTCAAGGTGAAGGTGAGTGGAAGAGCCAATAAAACTTTCGGTAACCGCAAAAAGAATTCTACTGCAGTATTTTTCCGAGAAATCACAATGAGATTCTCTCAAACAAAATTGAATTTCAAAGTATGTAAGTACATATTCATCTTCACACTTGTGTATGTATTTGTTTATGTGATGAAATGATAAAAGAAATTATTGCTCACTTCCACAAACATTTATTGGCGTTGCACCAGTAAGCATTGCAATTTCCTTTGAAATTTCATTACATGCAGACTACATTGAGGCACAAGTGATGCAACAGATTTTCCCATCAACCGACAGCCATCAGCCGCCGACTAAAATCGTCAACTTTGCCAATAGTGAAATGCAATTTTTCCTATGTTTTTGCACAACAACACATACTAATGTACGTCAATTCCATCACCTTCCTATTGGGATTGGACGTGCAAAGTAATTTCACTAACACCATGGATAAGAGGTGGCGCAATCAAGGTATAACTTCATTTATCACACTTGGCGTGATAAGCTACAAATCAGCTAGCAACTTTTGCCGGTAATGCACTGAGGAGCAATTGTTTTTAACGGTGCTGCGCTGCTTGTGGGGTTGTCGCTAACTATGTTAAGCCCCAGCTCGCTACGGTCGGCTAACTACATGTGTATATATGGGAATATAGAACTTTTGTGGACAGTGTATTATTTTATACAAAATTCAGTCAAAAAACATTTTTAAATAAATATGGGTCAGAGTAATTACATTAAAATTTTTATAAAATCAATACAATCAATCAAATTTGTTGATTTTTTTTTATATATTTATTAGTATATTTGTCTACAAGCGTGCTGGAGGGTTGCGAATCGAACACATTACACCAGCTGTTCAAACATATTGGCCGCACTGAACTGTTAAAGACGTAAACTCCGAAACGACGATTATGACAACTTTTGTAAAATACTCTCAGCTGGCAAAGTCGATACCGGGTACCTCCATATAAGTATATAGTTTGAGCATAACCACAATCCACATAATTTTCACTTTGTGCTATTTCTCAGCAGACTATTACCTGTCTCAGTGAAAATTTGCAAATTGCATTGCTTTGGAATACATATGTATATGTAACATGTTGGCTAATGTGCATTTCGCTGCGACTCACATGCTTGCAGCAAAGCGGTGATGTTTGTATTTGGTGCAGCTCAATTTCGAATGACGATGGATGTCGACTTGTAGCAGTAACAGTTCATGCACAACAAATTGAGCGCCCTAAGCGAGTTGCCAATTGACTGCATTTGTATGTGTACACGTATATATGTACATACATACATAGCCGTACACATAGTAGGATGCATGTCAACATTAGCTCTGAATCGACTTTTCTCGAGAACCATATTTTTTCAAAATTTAAAAGTTCTATGATAGATATGATTTTAATTAAAATAATCTAAGGAATTCATTATTTCAGTTTTTTTTTTAATCTTTTACATATATATTAAGGTCAAAATTTGAAATCTTGAGAAATAAATATTGAAATAACAATATGTAAGCAGCATAAAGATTTTCTTCAAACTTCTAAGATATACTAAAGGGTATATTTCGCGTAACTCGAATCCATGCGAATCGAATGGCCTTAATTTTCTTTACTCAATTTCGTACAGAGCTATCATGACTTTCTTTAAGACCTATTATGACTCCACTAAAGGTTATTTTTTAACCGACATTTTCAGTTTTTCTTCCTTTTCGCTGTTTATATTTCGCGCCAATTTAAGATTTCTAATGTAGCCAGGTCCTGCTTCAACTGGACTTTCCAACGGAGTGGAAGTCTTCTTCTTCCTCTGCTTCCCCCGGCGGGTACTACGTCGAATACTTTCTGAACTGGAGTATTTTATTATTTATTTTGTATATTAAATTGCTGAACTATGTCAATGTCGTCGTATATCTCGTACAGCTCATCGTTCCATCGAATGCGATATTCGCCGTGGCCAACGCACAGAGGACCATAAATTTTCCACAGAACTTTTCTCTTGCAAACTCGAACGGTGACTCATCAGTTGCTGTCATCATGCATGCGTATGCACCATATTGTGGGACGAGGATGATGCTTGACTTGTAGAGTTTGGTCTCTGTTCGTCGAGAGAGGACATCACTTTTCAATTGCCTACTCAGTCAGAATTGTCACCTGTCGACTTCAGTTAAACTGTGCTGAATTGCGAGGCAAACGTTGCTGTTGGTGTTGATGCTGGTTCCAAAATAGACGAAATTATCTATAACCTCGAAGTTAAGACTGTCTACAGTGACGTGGGCAACAAGTCGCAAGTGCGACGACTGTTTGTTTGATAACAGGAGATATATTCGCTTTCGCTGTTTCCTTCGCCTCCTTATGCAATCTGGAGAAAGCTGAACGCGGTTGTTGAGCCCAGTGATATATACGAGTAGATTGAAGAGATCCCACTATAGGGTGTCGCCTTGTCTAAAAGCTTGCTTGGATTCGAAAGGCTCGGAGAAGTTCCTCCTGATCGTGATGGAACTTTTAGTTTTGAGGGAGTCCGTTGTGGTTTTACGTGAGTTCCTGCCTGCGAAGGCCTAACCCCACGGTGCTTTCTATTGCTAGAAGCACATAGATCAAAACAATGC